GAAAATTCGAACGAAGGGTCGCTTACACGCTTCTGAAATTTATTAAGATTCCCGTATACTATAGCCATCATCATAATACAGTTCAACAACTTTTTCATTACTTGCACTTTTATCCAATTTTACAGAATATGAGCTGAACAACATTAAGTAAAACTAATGCAGTTATTTATAAAATTTTTATAACTTTTAATTTTGTTACTTTCAATTATTATATAGTATTTAATATATGCTACCGCTTATTACATTAATATTGATGAAATAAAAAATTATTTTAATCATTAATTAATAATTTAGTTGTTCATTAATGAAAGAGATAAATTGAAAGTTTTAGTTTAAATGTTCAAAATTTATGCCTAAAAGTTAGGCATAAAGCGCTTAGAGTCTTGCGGTGCCTACAGAATCCTATCAGAACGATGTATATCCGATGGGTAAATCCGCTAGTTACACTAAGAAGCGCTGATTCAAGTGCATTTAGTTTTTCTTGACCTAAAGAAGGGTGGATTGAAGATAAAATGTAGATTGTTCTTGTTTCATCCTGATAAGAAATTACTACAATGGCGAAAAAAGCAATGTCATTGAAATAGAGTATTGATAACACACAGGCTTATTTACTATTAACCGCTAGGTAATACAGTAAAAATGGTAATATAAATAGCTTATGCAAAAAGAGAATAGAAAGGGAACTGCTTTTTAAAATTCTTCAAGCTTCTTTTTTATTTTTTCGGTGCAAGAATTTTGTGATTACTTTGTTGGTGATCTCGACAATCCTTACATATTTAGATTAAAAAGGTTTCTTTCTACCCACTCAATATCAGAAAGCCATACCGCTCTGATCAAATCCTAAGCTGCCAGATCACATTTATCTCTTCATCGTTATTCCTTTTATTTCTATGTTAGTGTAGATGGACTAGATTACAAGACTTTACATATAGAGATACATATATAGTTCAAGGACGTGTGAGAATAATATAATGCAAAACTATATATTAATTTCATAAAAATTTCTCATATTATGTAAATACAACTATTAAAAATATATTATGTTTTTGATGATGGCATTATAGCAAAAATTTCTTGTAATAGAAGTAAAAAATGAGCAAATATTTCAGCAGCGCATGGTAATTAATATTATGGAAAAAAAATTTTTACCATAGCAATGCATTTTATTAAAAAAATTTCAAGTACTATATATTATTCAATGCACATTAAAATTGAAATGTTATTTTAGATTAATCAAATTCGTTGCAAACAATAGTTTAAACGTTATTTACTTAAGAATCCATTAGGAATATGTAAAGAAATTATTTAAAGATAAATCATTAAATATATATAAAATTTGATAAATATATAAATTAATTATTATAAATTATAATAATTAATATCAAATATTAAAAAACTGTAAATTATCACAAAAGAAAAACGCTTTTGCTTATAAATTGTAAATTGAAACTATATAATCGAATGAATAACATAATATTTTAATTCATCCAGTGATTCTGAAAAATATTAAAAATTTTTACCCGATTATTTTGATTTTTGTATTCTATGCTTCGAGTACATTGATAATCATTTATTTTTTCTTATTTCTTATTATTTCCGAACAAATATTTTTAAATTCTAAATGCATAACAACCTTTTACAACCACTGTTTCTTAATCATTGCATAGAAATTTTTTTAAATTTTCCATTAATAGAAATATAAGAATTTATAAATAAATATATATGTATATATATATATATATATGTAATTACTAATTAGTCTCTGAATAAAATCAGGTTATAATTATGAAATACTGAACACTTAATTTTTATTTTCTATATCAATAAATTAATACAACACTATTTAAATTAATTAAATTAATATTAAAATATCTATAGATTAATCTATAAAAATAATTTCGGCAAGCTAAAAATTATAATATCGAATATATATAATATAAACTAACTGGAAGGAGTTTTATAATTTTATTTTCCTTTGTAATATTTCTTGATTGATATTAAAAATATTTTAATACTTAAAGTGTATAGTATAAAAATAATAATATGGAGAATCACTGCGTTAATTATATAATTTTTTTTTCATTACGTATATTCTTTACAAATATAATATATACAGTAGTGCGCGTTATTAATGCAACGTAGGTTAAATAAACAATATGGTTATGAATATCTTAATAAGTATAAAACGCGCTATTTACTTATCTACGATTACTCTCAACGATAATATAATATCTATAGGATTATTATGGTTTAGTGAAATGTCTTTGTAAGTAACTATTATTATTAATCGTCTGTATTATTAAAGAGTATCATTAAATTCTTTATGAATTCTTGGCATAAAAAGAGTAACTGCGACTGCTCAATATTTAAAGGTAATATAGAAATCATATTCTAAAATAAATATTAACTGAAATCTTTTTATCCATGAGAAACAAGCAAATAATTGGTACGTCCATGTGTAAAGTATAATTCTCCATACTACGGAACGCAAGAGCGAGTGAGTTAAGGAAACCCTCGACAGAACTAGGAGTGCGTGTTTAACAGGCCACGGTAGTAACTAGTTTAATTTTGCATCAGTGCCGGAACATCTCCCTAGTCTCTCCACTTCCTCTCATCACCCCATTCTTGTTAAGAGCGGTAACGAGAGAATAGCTGCAACACTGCGTGCACTCTAACCATCTCCCTCCTACTTTTGTCGAATTACCTTCACTTGCAGAGAGTACTATAAATTACATAAATGAAGTAAGTCCTATTTATGGCATCCTATTCTTCTCCGAACGGACGTCTTGAAGTAAATTCAAATATATATAAATTCCTTTAATCGCTATCTAAGGCTTCTTATATTAGGTAAGAACAATCCAGTGACATTCTCATGTTCACTGTCAAAACAAACAAAATTGAAATAAAAATTTTTTAATTTTTACCTCTCCAATATTATTTTCTATTATATATTAATTCCAAAATAATATATATTAAAACCGATAAGTCGATATAGGACTGATATTTATTATATATTATATTCGTGAACCTTATCTAATCTTGCATTAATCTTTTGAATTTTTTAAAATATACCTAATTTATAATTTACAGTGTTAAATATAGCATAGAGTTGATGGTGTACGAAAATGAAGGAAGCGTCATTTAATTAAAACTTTGAATAATAAATTGTCTAATTATCATAGCTACAACATTCAGATATATATTGTATATATTTTCATATGATAAATTCATGCAAGAAAAAGAAAAATTAAAAAAATTGAATTTTCATGAATTAAAAATGTAAAAGTATTTTTCATTTATATGGTTCATCATTATTATATATTCGTTGTTTAGAATAGTTAAAATTAATTAATTAATTGATGAAACATTTAAAATCATGATATAAAATAATTTAAAAATAATTAATTGTAATAAAATTTAAAAGATTTTTTATTAAAATGAAAAGTAATTTTTAATAAAGCACTATAGCAATTTTATTCTTATAGATCACTATAAACTCGAAATTATATTAGGAAATATGCAGTAAATAGTCAATATTTCAATAATACATTTTTATAAATATTAAATTTATTCCATATCTCTCTCTCTCTCTCTCTCTCTCTCTCTCTCTCTCTCTCTCACACACACACACACACACACACATTATGAAATTATTCGACCATTTTTTATTACATTTCATTACAATAAATAAAATATTTAGATGGGAGAAATGGTACTTGGTTCAAATGATCCTACAAATTTATGATTCATGATTCACAGATGCTGATTTTACTTATACAACTTGAAAATCGTCGGGAAAAGTTTAAAGCATCCTCATTTAATGAATTATTTATGATTTTCTTACGTTAGCAGATCTTTTTTCCACAAGTACTCGGTTGTTCGTTAATTCAAATTATCAATCGTATTGGCTGAATGTGAATTTCACTATAATACAGAAGTACACGGAAAGTAGCCACAAATCTGCAATATTTAAATTCTGTTGTATTCATTCGTACCAAATGTGAACGCAAAAAAGCTTCCATTACTCATGAGACATTATGACAGTTATATGAGCGACCAGTAGAACAGTTTCTCCGGTCGCTGCACTTAATTACGTCGCAAGTCGACGCCATACGTCCTACAACCTCGAGCGCCATTTCAGCGGCGCTGGTACTAACTCTCGCTGTTATCTTAGGCCTCATCGTGACCGTGGATTCATAACTCTAGGGAGTTAGATAACTATATAGGCGGAAGCAAAGAAGACAGAGAACGAGAGAGAAGGAAAGCAGTAAATTACGACCGAGGCTCAGAAGCCATGGCGAATGAGATTAAAATCATCCCGAAAAAGTAATGAAAAGTTTTTAATAACCCTTGATTCTTGATTAACTTGGGACCAAGTGCCTCTTGTACCTCTCGGAAGATGCTTTTATAAAATGGCGTAGACCTCGAAAAAGTCTGGTGCATTTTTGCCTAATACACTTTTCAAGATTTTATAATTGCATTATAATAATTATTATACACGTGCAGATGATTCATTTGAGTAGAAATAAATGATTTTCTATTGTTCAAACTACGTAAATGATAAGTTTTCCTATTCGCTGCTAAGTACATTTACTTATTTATTAATTGTACTTTATAAATTAATTTTTATAAATTGAAAACCTTTAACATTTTTCGATGCCTTGTATAATCTTTTACAAAAGGGATATTATTTTATGTAGATGTAGCATTGAATAGTCGCAAATTAAATAAAATAATCCTGTTTATTAAAAAGTAAAGAAGTGTCTGAACATAGATTTATTAATGAATTCGATTTTGTTCTTGCAATATCAATTATGTAATATCTATATTCAATTATTAAAAAAAAAAAAAGTTAAAATGTACACCTATCATATGCAATATAAATAATACCTAATATTTAGATAGGTTTTCTAGTACATCGTTATTCATATTCTCCTTAACGTTAATGACCTAACTTCCCGGCAGACCAGTTCTCAAACATCGCTTCTTCTTTGTTTCAGGTTTCGGCTTCGTCACGTTTCAAAGTGAAGATGTCGTTGACAAAGTGTGCGAAATCCATTTTCATGAGATCAACAACAAAATGGTGAGTGCACACGCATTTGTTAAAATACGATGACATTTGTTCTTGCCGTGAGTAAAACATGACAGACCGAATTAATTTCTAGCATAATTGAACTCTGCCATAATAGTGCGAACATTCGATCCTGTACAGTTATTTACATTTACCATATACGACGTACATTTAACGCTTATGCGTGCTCGGGTCAGAATAACGTAAGATAATCAACGCTGAGTACTAATACCTAGAGCTACTCCTATCGAATTTTATTTATATTTGTAAATTGAATGATAAAATTATTGGAAGACCGTATTTACATTTTAAATATAGGATTCTCGTGTTCTACACCTCATATTATAATTCAATGGATAGGTTTTACCAAAATAATGATTAAATTTCTCTAAATTTTTCTTTTAAGCAACTATCTTATTTCCACTATTTGTTAAATATTATCCGTAATATGGCTTATTTGAAGACAGTTAATGAAAAAAAATATTTAATTTCTAATTCACGAATGATATTAAAAAAACGAGTGTCTTAAACTATTGTAATTACTAATAATCATTGGAATATAGTGTCAAACATCGAATTTATTATAATTATCAGATAATATAATACAATAAGTTAGGCACATCTAATTTAAATTAACGAGCTTATCAAGTAATGCATTAATCAGGAAAATTATTGTCCTAATATATTCGTAGCTTCAAAATCCATGCATGTATTTATCAATGCAGATGTATGTATTCATCAATTTTGTTTATATAATATGTTTACATTAATAATGGATGTCTGAGAATATAATAAAAAATCTAATATATCTAATAATGTCACTATTATTTTCCTTATTAAATCTATAATCAAATTTTACTTGGCAATTAATTTGTCTAAATAATATATATATATATATATATATATATACAATACATTTTCCTTACAATATATTTAAGGGCCTTATGATATTTAGTAAACCCTTAGTTTTCGTATTAATTAGTCAAATATTAAAAAGAAAAAAAAGCATTATAGTCAAAATTCAAAAATGGATTCGAAATTAATTCAATAAATAATTTTATCCTATTTATCACCTAGTATTTTTTTGAGCTTTCAGTGTAAATTTGAGTAGTTGAAAATATAAAATTTCGTATAATTTTTAAGATTACTTTGAAAGTAGTAACGCACTTTTTGAAATTACAAAGATAACTTTAAAAATAAATCATAATAAACCGTTCTTTAATATAAATCAAATAAATTATATTCGTATACATATAAATAGATGTTGCTATTTAATTAAACAAGAATATTATTAGAAGCTATGAGAATTTAACACTAAATATAAGTTCTTTTAAAGTCACATTATAGGCTCAACCTTCTGTTTAATGCCCTGCATGGTAACTTTATCATTAATTAAAGTCGCGAAAAAATTGTCGAATCTGCCCCTTTAAAAATAGCGAATCAATCATAACTTAAAAAAAAAAAACGCGGGTTCTATTTAATTCTGTTTCAGGTTGAGTGCAAGAAAGCCCAGCCGAAGGAAGTGATGCTACCAGCTAACCTTGCAAAGACGCGGGCAGCCGGTCGAGGTGCTTACGGTGAGTTGGTGATGGTCGCTCAGCCCCCCACAGCCAGCGCCACCGCGACCTACCGCTATGCGCCGTACCCCCTGCCCCCGACGGCGGCGGTGGCGGCCGCGGCCCACGCGGCCCACGCTGCCGCCGCTGCCTCCGCCTCCCACCACCACCACCACCACCACCACCAACAACAACACCACCATCCTGGGGCCGCGGCCGCCGCTGCCGCCGCCACCGCCGCTCACGCCCTCCTCGCCCCGAGTCTTGTGAGCGGCACCCAGCCGCCCCCGGCCACCTCGGCCTCCGCCGCCGCGGCCGCCGCTGCCGCCGCCGCGAGCTACCAATACGCCGCGGCCGCCGCAGCCGCCGCAGCCGCCAATGGGCCCACAGCCGCCGCCGCCGCCCAAGCAGTCTACGACGTGAAACGGGCCCTGGCGGCGGCCGCGGCGGCTGCGAACTACAGGACTCACCCGGGGGCCGCGGCCGTTGCCGCCGCCTCCAGGGCTGCGAGCCTCAGCTACTCAATGAGCGACCTCCTTGGGGTCCAGGGCCTCGATATGGGCACTGTCTATCACCCCTTAGCCCCCACTATTGGGCTATGACCAACGACGATAATCACGCCCCTCTCGAGGCCCCAGTGATCCCTCTCTGATAACACAGTATCGGTTAATTGCACGACACGTTGCCGCTGGGCCTGTCAATTATTTGTCATTTATATTCTCTATTATTCTTATTGTTACATTGAGCCTTCGTTCACGTACTGTGTAGAAGATTATCTTTACTAATGTATTTTCTATCATTTAAATACAGTGATTACATGACATGGAACTATAGTAGAAACCGCTAAGGTTTAGATTTTTATGACAACACGTGGTCATTTCTTTTCCAACTCTTTTCGAAGAAATGCGATAATGTTTAAAAAATAGGTTCTTACAAAATTATTAATGCAAATAATTTAATCAATATTAAATAATAATTAACTATTGTTTTAGAAAATGTATGTAGATAGTAGTATAAATATGTTCATTTTTATTGAATGGCTACTATAATATAACTTCATAAAATATTTTTGTGTCAAATTGTTCAAGAATGAAATAAGAAATTGATAACTTCAGGTAATTGACTTTATTTGTTAAATATAAGTGTTGAATAATTAAAGAGTAATCTATACCGTCAATCTTATTGCAAAGCTTTCCGTTCTATAAATTTCCGGTCTAATAGAAAAAAGATAGTATCTTTTAATGTTTCTTTTCTATAAATCCAGCTAGCCAATTCAATATTTTTTAATTTGGAAAAAGTATTACATAAATTTAATACCAATTAGTAATTTGATTGCTTTATTAATTAAATTAACATATTTTCTCTATTCGATTAAGATTAAGGTAATGTTTGCAGAGAATATAATTAACAGTTTAAGACGATTTAAACAAAAATCTTGTAAAATAGAGAAATATTTAAAAGTCTTAATTTTTTTATCTAATTAGCTACTTTAATGTTACAAGTTATTATACTATATAAAAGTAATTAAAAATATATTGTATTAATACGTAAAGAAAATCAAATAGAATGAAAACTTCCAAAAATTAGTTAGAAGAAATTATAAAGTGATAATTAAATATATTATTTTAAGTTTTTTATGAAGTTACTATTTTTATTTTATGAACGTGATAATGTATTAATATTGGGAATTAACATTTAAGTGTCTGAAAATAAGACAGAATGTCTTAAATATTATACCAAAGTTACGAAACTCAATAACTTATAAAATTATTAATATCACTTAAACTGACGTACTTGGCTTAGTAGACAGTTACTCACTAATTAAAATTTTACTTGAATCATTCATTATAAATATTTTATACTAAAATATTATACTTTAAAAAAAAAACCTTAACATTAATAACAATAGGAATATGAACATATTTAATTTTAAAAAGATGTCTGATTAAATGAAACATATTTTATATATAATTTAAAATTTTGATTGGATAAACTTATGGCATTTAGTAAAATAATTAGATATTAGATAGAGATTCAAAGAAACGGTTTCTTATGAAAAATGTGCCAATAACTTCAATATTAAAGAATAAACAGTTAAATTTATCAAAAAGAATATTAGATTAACCTAGAAAATTCTATAATAAATAAAATCTTTACGATAACGATTGTTACATCATCTACGACTGACATATCTAAAAGTGCAATCATAATGTAATTAGATGCTTACATTAAAAACGGGAATTTAAGAAAATTTTAAATCATGCTTTAAATAAAGACTGCTCGACGTATCCGATTCAGAAACTGTGATTTTAGTGACAGAAATTTATAAAAATAAAATGGATCATTGTAATAAAATATTTGATAGATTCGTAACATTAGATAGATGTTAGTTTAATATAGTAGTTACCGATGGGGCCTCATTTTGATAGTTAATTGAAAAAATTAGATGGCAAATATATCGCGATATGATGGAAACAAAATCAAAGACTGGTAGGAGATTTTTAGTATTTAGATTTGTGAATACAAAAGTAATAAAGTGTTCAATAAAGTAAAAGCTCGACGTCGAAGTTCGAAAATAAAATAAACAGAAAATGCAGTCCATAAATATTTAGTATTATTGTTTATCTATAATTATTTGCTAAAGTTTAAAATTTAAACAGATGAATTAAATTATTTATATACGAACTGAAGGTTATTGGAATATTTGCTAATATCCAGAGATGATAATGTAAAATCAAAACTATGGTACAAATATAATCGATATTAAATTCCAAATGAACATTACTTTCATAAAATATTACCAACAATATCAAATGAAAACTGTATCAACTTTTTGATAATTATATTGATCTAACCCTTAATAAATATTTGGATTTTGTATTTACGTAAAGTCGATGTCTAGCATATGCTTACGTTACATATATTTTCATAAAAGTTTCTTTAAAATCCACATACGAGAGTTTAGACATAAAATGTAAAAGTACAACATAGAGGAATCAACAAAAATTGAAATATACCGAATATATTGAATATATGATAAATTTATTAATTCTGAGCTAATAGCTTATTTCACATAAACAGACAGATATTATAAGAGACAAATATTTTTAATGAACCCCTAGCACAAAACTTATGCATTAATTCTATTTTGTTCTTCATTTCTTCCATTGTACCTTCTTAATCGGTATCAAGATATCGATATGCATACATATACAATATTGATTGGGATTATCGGTGAAAAGCGTGGTTGAAATGATTATTTTATTTATTTAATGAAAATCTTGTTTTCCTTTTCAAAAAATATAAATATCTATGACAAATAGTTATTAAATTTTTTTAGATATCATATGATTAATCGAATAATTACCCAATTGCACAAATATTGTGTCAAAGTCGCACAAAATTTACGTATGCGCAAAACGATCTAATACAAGAAGCAAATATCCATTATGCAGAATTATAAATAATGGGAAAAATAATATTAGAAAGGATCGTTGTTATAAAATAACAAGAAGGAAAGCAACGAGCTCAAATTTTTTTCACACGCACACAAGATAAAAATTGTGCTTAAATGTTAAAACAATAATGAGGCGAGCGGCAACAATGGCGGGTGGCGGCGAGGAGTAGTGCGAAATTAGACCAACTCGCCATGTCTATTGACATATTTTTCGCTAATATTCTATGGATATAACTTCATGAAATTTCATAATGCCAACAAATAAATATATACAAATAAATATAACAAATAAATATATCGACAATGCATTAATGACGAGCAGTATTAAAATATATATTGGTATAAGTATACAAGTAAGGCCATCAAAATCAATGGATGTGTTACATCTATATACACACATATGTACATGTATATAGACAGATTTCCAGTTAAAAAGATTTTAACTTCGTATAATTATTTATATAATATATACATATATAGTACTTATAAACGAAAATAATGAATTCCTTCTAGATAACGGCAATATACTCTTTTACAACTGTCTAATAAAATAATATAGTATTTGATATTACACGTTAAAGCGCTATATTTTATAAAATATTATTATTACGTATTCTTAATACTTTTTGTTATATTAATTCTTATATATCGAAACATTCAGCTTAGGTATTTTTATTTACACATTTACATGTACACATTTATTACAGTAGAATAATACAAAAACTAACGAAAACTTATTTCAAGTATGATAGTTCTAAAATATCTTTATTTAACTAATTCAGAATTATGAATGTTTGCTAAGATATAATAAATAATAGGTGAATTTATTATTAAATTTGTTATTCGTATGAAAAGAACAAAAATTATTTAACAATAAATTGTAATAACGCAATTTCAAATTTTGTAAAATTTATTATTTTTAAGAATTATTTAATAATTTCTGTCTTTATTAAATAGATTTGTGTTAGTAGAAAATGATTCTATCGATTTGTCACCATAAAGCTTATTTGGCATATTTTCGTATAGATGGATAGTCATATTAACTTTATCTTTTGAAACTGTTCAGCAGAAATTACTTTATATGTAGCTTTTAACTAAAGTTAAATAACACTTAGTATAGAAATAATAGATATAAAAATTGTATTTAATTAATAATTCGATAGTCTTTTTCTACTAAACATGTAGTTTTTTAAATTATGTAATTAGCACTTATTTTCAGTAAAATCTGCTATTAAATAATGAACTATTACTCCAAATATACAACGAGTACATGAATAAAATAGTTTTAATTAAGTATAACAACAATTTTAGGCGATCTAGGATCCAATTAGTTAGAGAAAAATAATTTATTTACGTAAGAAGTAATACGTTCCTAAATATTATTGAAATTCTAGAAAGTAAACCATAGACTTTGAAAAAAATAATTTAATATAAAAACCGTTAGCTTTAGAAATAAGTTTTTGGTATTTCTCAATTGGAAGAAGCGCCCATATTAACCATGAAGAATAGCAGAATAATGACCCAAGCAACACGTCACAGAATTAGCAAAAGTGAGTGTATTCAACAATTGCACCTCTTGCAAGATCAATCAATCTTCTCTTTTCTTCGTAAGCATCGAACAAAAAGAAAGTAAATACTGTTGTTAAACGTAAGAAAACTGCTTCTCGCTCGGCTTCATCAACTTCTAGGATCTATTATTTCCTCTCCGGTATTTTCTTGATCAACTCAGTTGTCGACTAAGTGATTTTGAAAAGTGCTTGTTTGTGAAGTAAATAATGCTCGAGAAGTCGTAAGGACAGTAAATCGGTAAACTTTATGAACTAAGCCTTACTAAAATCTTCTTGAGAATCTTGATTTCTTTAATTAAATAATGAACTTAAAATAAAAATAATTGGGCGAGATTTCTAATTTTTAATAATAGTCAGTTTTACCTTCATTTTCTCCTCAATGCATTTGTCTGAATAAATCCAGCATTAGTCCAAAAAAATTGGTATTACTTTCTTTTATACGTGCGATGGTTGTTATGTAAGGACTCTTCCAAAGAGAATGTACAAATAAAAGGCTACTTTCTATCTATATATATATATATATATATATATATATATATATATATATATATAGATAGATAGATATATACATATATACACACACATATATATATATGTATATATTACACATACATGCCTATTAAAAATATCTACGTTAAATAGTTATAAATGTATTATCATTACTATTGTTGTTGTTGTTATTATTATTATTTATTACTTACTACTTATTATTTATAATTATTACAATTAATTTCATATTATCATTATTATCGCCATCGACATCATCGTCTTTATACCCATTATTATTACTATTATTAAACCTTTCAAACGTATGGACTAAATGAAATACATATATCTATACATATACCTTATTTATACCTATTATACCTATCCACTTTATTACTTATCATAGTATTTAATATTTCTACGCTATATAGCACTATATCTTAATATTAATGCGTGAGACGTGTGTCCTAGAAAAGTACATACTTTGCCCGAGAGGCGCAACACTGTCAGTTTCGTAAGTAGAATTTAACTATGAGGTTTTATCGTTGTTTAACTCTGTATAATATTTACAAGCTTTTTACCTTGGGCCGGATTTTGATTTGAAACGCGCGTCAGCTGAAAGATAATTAAAATTGTGGAATATGCGCTCGCCCGTTGATCAATGTTTATGTAAATCCTGTTGTACATTTCATATTGTTGCAACCGGTTCTGAAGTTTAACAGTTGTATAAAAATAAAAACAAACTTTCGTGTACCATATAGTTATGTACACAATAAGAGAAATTTTCATTCGAATTGAGGGAAAAACAATAGTATGGTTTTCTAATTGCTCTTTATAAAATAGAAAATTATGTTTGACACAAAACTTCTTAAGTTAATCATTTTTATAATCCATATTTTTTATTTACTTATTAATATTTTATTTTAAAAGCTAACCTTTATAAATATTTAAATTATAACTGCTAAGTTGATGTTGGAAATTTACTTTTCAACAAGTGTGCTGATGTATCGGATAAAATAAATTTATATTTTATAATCTTTTAATATTACATTGAACTTAAATAATAAATTTTATTTGAACAAAATTCATTCAAAACATACGCACTGTATTTTGGCAATTTTTTGTTTGATTTATAAAATGATAAAATGTCAAGAGTATATATATATATATATATATATCGTATATATTATATATTAAATATTTATAATTTATATATAATTTATATATAATTTATAATATATAATATATAATATAATATACAATATATAATATATAATATTAATATATAATATATATATATATATAAAATATACTGTTGAGATTTACCTAACGCAATTTTCTCGTTAATAAATGGTAATCCTAAAAGTTTCATAATTAAAAGGAATATTTTTTTTATTATAACGTTAACATTAACCACGTAATAATAATCTATGTATTTGATGTGGTAAATATGAAAAAAACATTCGAATGAATTTATCTGTCATAAGTATCAGTACTTATGTACTGACTCAATGCTTTTCTATTCCATATAAGTTCACAGGCGCGCGCAAATTTCCATCTCGTCAACAAAATATTACCTGTATAAGGCAAACTAATGCGAATTTGAAGGATTGCTTTGGCTTACCCATTACACAGATTGTCTCCAAGATGGGAGTCTCTTTATGGGAAGCCTAAGCAACAAGCGATATAGTTTTTGAAAAATCCGATGGAACGCAAAAAGACTTATAATATGGGATATATATAAAGATATCGGTAATGCGTGTATAAGATTGTATAATCCTTTATAGAAAAATAATACTGTAAATTGTCGTAAAACTTGAACGCGTTTGCTTATTATGATTATTGTATATTATCTTCATTTTAAGTATATTATTTGAATATCGACGTGCGGATTGTTATTTAATTTAACTGTGCAAATAATGCTTAAATATACGCATGAATTAACTGGATCTGTATAACTTGAAAGTAATAATAATCTGTCTATTTATAAATAATATAATATGCACGCAATCGATGATAACACAACGATTTCAACTTGCACTGAAATAAAGCTAAATGAAGGAAAATAAAAATTATTCGATAAAAAACCAATAAAATTGAAGTCTATCGTCTTATTTCTTGCCAGTTCCATTCGCCTTTTTCGAATTCATGTGCAGATAATGGATTAAGAAAACCAAAAACAGACGTTGTGTGCTTGACGTAATTGAAAACCAGCCCGGTAGAAACTTTAGGTACGGAATCACTAATACTATTAATATGTATCAGTGTATCTCATTGATTATAGAAATATATAAATGCTCAATACTCGTAAAATGTACGTATGCACACCGCGCGAGTGGTGTGCCGATATCATAGAATAGTTAATGAGCTAGTAGTGTAGATTGTGGTCGGTGTTTATTTATATCAATATTGTATCGCCAATATATAACGAATAATGTATATGTCGTAGTAAAATTGGCAAATTTTCGTAATAAAATTCAATATTTTTAATTATTAAATATTAATGTTATATGAAAGTACAAATAGATTTTTACGGTGATCTATAAATAATTTCTATATGAATTATTTTTTCACCTTGAGCAAAAGAAATTTTTAAACAAGTTTTTTTCTCTTTTTCAACGATAATAAAATAAAAAAAGTTTTCAAACTTATTTCAAACTTATTGAAAATCACAAACACACATAAGAGGTAAAGACGCGCATTTAAAACTAATATTGTAATTAAATACTTTATTCAGCTATTCATATTTTCATTAACTTGTCTATTATGAAATTAATCGATTCCATCGTTTTTCATATAATTATATAATTTAAATTATTTACATTAGTAATTGCATTAGACATTTACAACGATTACTATTCATAATACAAAAATAGAAATTCTTTTATAAAATTAAATAAAAACTTTTAAATAAAAGAAAAATTACTAATATTTTAAAAATCGCTTTATCAATAGATCGCAATTACTTTCATATAAAATTAATTTTTTTTTTCGGTTACAAGGCACGATAAATAAACCATTAAAAATCTTTCAATTATTAATAATATATATAATATATAGACACATATAATTTATATGTGACTGAAAAAAACTGAAATAGACTGTATGAATAGAACGATACTTAAATCTATATAATAAGAAATTTTGCCAATTATAGTTAATATCTAAGAAGCTGTATTAGAAAGCATAGAAAATTATACCTAACCGATAATTTTATAATTAACTAATATACCTTTAAGATTATAATAACCATATAGACATATAGGAAGGTTTCTTTTCACGTAGATTTCAATATATTTTTTATATAATCAGTCGCGTGTAGTTATTTAGTTACCTATTTATACAGAAATTAGTCAATACGCTAGTGGAGCGATATAGTAAAAATTTTAGTTGTGTGGTCTTTAAATTAGTGTCAAATTATGAAATTTCATGGATGCTTTTTCTTTGTTTATTTTTCTATTTCTGTCTGTCGATCTATCTTTCTATCTATATTCACTGTTTTCCTTTATTTCTTTTACAATTTGTCAATATCACATTTTTATAAACTAGTCGCTTTTATATTCCTCTTATATCTTTTTTATGGTATTTTCATTTATATTGAAATAAATTATTTTTTTAATGATGAATCCAAACAAGTTATTTACATGCTTTGTTTTATATAAATTAAATGTTTACAAACTTTTACAAAATTTGTAAAAAAAACAATATATTCCTAGAATAATAAAAATTTGGTAAATTTATTAAAAATTCTATGGAATATTGGTATATATAATATCTGGATCATTAAAATAAAAAAAAATCATTCAAATCAAATAAAAATATTATTGAGCATTCAAACATTGAATTAATTCTATATTTGTTAATATTAATCAATTTTTATTCTGTTCTATTATAGATTTTATGTGGTCCCTGGGAGCTCTACCAGATGGTAAGTAAAATAAATGTTTTTGTGCTTTCATAATTTCCTTTTACAATATACTACAAATAAAAAATTACATAAATTAATACATAGTCATTAAATACAAATCAAATAATGGATTTTGTTAACTATTACTTGATCTTTGCATACGGATACCTTATAAAAATTAAAGAGAAACTTTTTCAATACTATGTTTTCATAAATAATTAATTATTAATCAAATAAATATTTACAATTACACATGAAATATTTGTATATTTTTTCAATTATCGCGCTGTAGTTGTTACATTGAGTTGGCAATATTTTAATATATATATATATATATATATATATATATATATATATATATATATATATATTTGTATATAATATATATTATGCCGTAGTTAAGGACTTATGATAATTTGCAATTTAATATTAGGAATCGTGAACACTAATTTTCGTCATGATATTAACTATTTAAGATTTTTAAAATTCTTTCTCAACATCACCAAATCGATTATATTTTAATGTTTAAATAAATCATTAAATAGAAATTTAATAAATTAATTAGCATAGAAATTCAGCTAATAATTAATATATAATAAATTTAAATAAAAATAAAAATATGAAGAGCATCATTATCTATATAATGAAATCGCAGCCAATGAGTATTAAATTACACATATTTAATTATAAAAATAAATAATTACGCAAGAATAGTTGAATAAAAGTAAAATATATGCAATTTTATAGTGGTCATATTATACCTTGTAATATAATTTAATGAGAATAAAATAAAAATTATAATAAAATTTATATATGTAAAATCAAAATCTATTTTCGTAGTTTCAAATGTAATTCTGAATATAATCCTTTAAAAATATTTTTCCAAACATTATATTTTTTATTATTCATTGAATTGTAATAAATTATTTTCAAATGAATATTTTATAATTCAAAATGGAATTGATTGGAAAATTGTAGACAGATGTAAACACTCCATTTTATAGAAAGGAAGGAACATTGCGTGAAATATGAAATAAATATCATACTCAATCACACTCAAGCATACATTTATCTCCATATATGGCCATGACGAATATTGTTCAAAGATCTTGATACTTATTGTAATGCAGAAAATTGCGCCATGTTCACAGGTTTCCCAGCAGCATACGCGGCTTATGCGGCAGGCCGTGGTTACTCCGGCTACCCCAGCTTTGGACTACCCTATCCAACAGGTAACCACCTTAGCCTTAACCAGCTTAACCATCTGAATCAACACAATACTACGATAGCCAATGCTCATCATGTTACTCACGCCCCTCTCAACCTGAATTTAAACCACATACAGGCACCAGCCGCCGTGGCTACTGCCGCCCACAATCCCAATCATACAACCCCTACTGCACTCTTTTACCATCCCAATTTGGACTTTTACAACGCCATGCCTCTGTGAACTAATTCTAGTATGACAATTATAACAATTGAATTGATAAGAATAATGGGAGCAAGCTATTCTAGCCTGTTACCATATCTTGCTACTATTAGTGATAATAACATATAGTCCAAAACGTAAGAGCCATGAACAAAGGATCCGTTTACATTCATCCAGTATGCACGCATGCATTCTTATAAATTAAACGCAGCAATGTTCGTCTCTATGCCCTAATTAAGCTATAAAAAGATTTGTTTCTATATTTGAGGTGTCGAAAATACGAAATTCAATACTTACATTTCTAGTAATATTATATATTAATGGATGTGTATATAAATGTATGTGTGCATAGGGTGGTCATTTTCAATGATAAATAGATAAAAAACATAATTAGCAAAAACCGACAGTATTTTATCATTATTATCAATATGCTGATATGAATGCGAATATGTATACCGATGATAAATTCACATATATAAAGATTCCATATTTGGAAAATATAGGAAGAACATGAAGGAGAAATAGAGAAGCAGTATAAGAAATAGATGGGAAGAGCAAGGATGTGTGTAAAAAAAAGTACGTAAGAGAGAAAGATATTATAGATTTATTGCATTACTTTTTATGAATGATAATGAAAAACGACGGATATATATCCAGACAAATTTGAGTAATCTTAAATATAGAATAATATAATGCCATTTGAGGTCAGAGCTTTTGTTTCTGATATGTGTTATGACAGTCAGAAATTGTACAAAATTATTACTAATTAATCTATTCAAAGCAAAGTTTACAATCAGAGTTAATACAAATTCAAAACACTTCTATCTTGAAATTAATATAATATAAAGTAAAAAAATATAATAGAAAAAATTTCATTGCTCATGTGTAAAAGATAAATGATTGAATAATGTGAAATTTATACCCAAGTTCTGAATATAAAAGTGTAAGTCGGTGTCATTGAATTTGCATTAAAAGATTTAGATAAAATTCGTTTACGTAATTCCTAATTGAATTTAAAATTAAGAATGGAATTAATTCTAATACCAAAGTACTAATCATTCTTATATTATTGACGGACTATTTTACCAGTTGTAAAGACGTCTCTATTTAGACATTTATAAATAAATTTTTTTAACACAACTGGTCAAAAGTACTTTTAAGCATATTTAAATTGATTACAATCATATATTGCATTGTACAATTTACTTTTCTACATTTATATAAGGTATTTCATATTTTATATTACACGTAATAGTAGGTTCACTATACATCAGGAAATAGATATGGATTTAAAAATATAAACATAGATACATATATCGGATTGATAGCAACTTTACCGAGCCGAACGGTTTCCTGCTTATATGCACATATACTATGTATTTAAAGTTTAATTTAAAATGTTTTTTGAATGAGAGCCAACGAGCAGTTTGATGAAGCAGTTGCGGTTTAACATTCATTCTTGGAGGATAATTACGTTTTAGTTCAAAAGCTCGGCATATCCATATATTCGTAGATTCAGCACTCGTGGTCGAAATGTGAAAAAGAGAATTCTCAGTCGTTGAATCTGCACGATGAATATTTCTATAAACAAACATCAGCTTCTGTTGTACACATATGTTCGTTAAAATATTCAATGTACCGTTAATAATATTAGGAGATATCACCTGTAAAATACATAAATTATTTATTAAAATATTCCACTATGCTTATCCGCAATTTTTTTCTTCGAGAGATTACATAAAATAATTATGATACACATATATGATACATGAATGTATTAATAATTTTTGTACAAACAGATAGACAATTATTTAAATTAATTAAATTATGATTTATGTGAGTTTTCAAAAACTAACGTTTCACATAACTGTTAGAACATATAGTTGGAAAGACAATTAAAGCAATATATATAACTGCTACCAATTATTCTAAATACATACTTACTAAACGCATGCTCTCTGTCGATTGCAATTTCTTTCTCGTTTTTAATATTCACCGAAACCGCAAAAAGATCTTCATTAATGTCTACTCTCGTTTCACAAAGACAAATAACAAATGTACATTGCAACGTCGAGGGAGTAATAATTTCTGAGCCGCTTTACCAATTTAGCTTGACGATAGTTGGCACCTCTTTTAACACGAATTTACCTAGTTCTGCTTTCGCTTCTATTTGTTGTTTCTTCTTTCTTTTTTTTTTTTTTTTTTTATTACATTGGTTTCCCCATTTATTTATTCGAATAATTACAACTATGCAACTTTTATTATGATGTCTCTCTTTGAACATTTATTTCTGCCCCGTTAAATTTTTTTATTCGGCTATTTTACCAACAACGATTCCTTAATGCACACATTTACAATTGTATAACATGAATAGAACTTTGAAATTGCGCATTTTTAAAAAAATAATGGCGACAGACCAAATTGAAAACGGGTGTAGACAATGAAATATAACATAGGAAGCACCGTAATTTGGAAAAGTTACAAACTAAGAAACGATTGAAGGGGTCAGCGGCAGGGGGGATAATTCAAAATAGAAAAAAACTGGAGAAAATGAATTGTTATAGGGAAAAAATATGATTTAATTACAAGGTACGTGGACAGCATACATCAATACAATGCATATACGTACACGTACAGTCATAAAAATAAAAGACAAAATTGTTAGATGAAACTGCGATCTCATAATATATATATATATATATATATGTCAATACGCATATACTGTTGTTTAATTTCCGTATATAGTAAGTGAAGGTAAAAGAGATTCCTCATCGTGCAAAGCATCAATTCATTCGCTTTTTATTTTAAGAATGTGATAAGTACATGCAATTGACTGCAGGGCGAGAAAAGGGTTTATAAATAATGCATAATGTTTTTCGGACGTTGGTATTCTCTATTTTTCCTGTATAAATGCTCCAAAACGTACATTTTCCAGTACCCACACAGCATAATTTTACCGAAAAAAGAGACGAGAAGAAAGAAACGTATATTTTGTACTGTACTAAATGAAGACATCTGTAGCTTTCATTTCCTATCTTCTCTTTTTTCAAATTTCACATTTGCGTAATACTTGCTAAAGTATCAAGAATAAATCAATGTAAATAGCTTTTGACTAACTTGATTTAAATCTATATAAAATAAAACAATAAAGGCTCTATAATTTAAAAACCGTTCATTTAAATTTAAATTTTCCAATAAAATTTTATAATAATTTTATATTAATTTAAAAATGGTCACATAAATCTCTTTTATTAAAATGTATCTCGTCTAAAAACTCAAATTCAATTTATTTTCCGTGTCTGAATTGAAAAAGATTAATAATGTAATTTACAAATACCATATATAATCAAATTTTGGACATTGCTAAACTATTTATATTGCGATTATTATTATGTAATAAACAAACATTGGTAAGATTTTAAAAATTGAATTAAAAATCACATTTACAATAATTTATCTTATTACTCTATCAAATTTTTACTTACTTCAACTTTAAAAACACTAATATAATTCATCTAAACTGTGATTTAAGAGCTAGTAAATTTATTTAATAAATTATATTTTGGAATATGTTTGTTTTAAATTCGTCTAAGACAAATTACATAAAAATAATTATCAATTAATAAATATTGAAATTCGTAGAAAGTAAGCGTATCTATGAATAATACGAACGTGAACTTTTTTTCCTATTAAGAAGCGTAATATTGTGTCCTATCCTCCTATCATAACGATAATCATTTCATAATATTTTCTTAATACTACTAATTTGTTTTTTCAATTTGAGCTGATTTTCACATAATATCTTTTATGTAATCAGAGCGTCTTCCAAATATAGCTTTCATTTCTTACATTATTACACCATCTGATCAATCTTCAAAAGGTGAGAAAAACAGTTCACGAGGCATGGCTGCGATTTTTAATGAAACTCTACCAGTAGTAAATATTTCCAACAATGAAACTACATACATTTTCCCATTAATTATAACAATACTTGAGTAAACTATGTAATATACTATTATTGAGGCCTTAAAAAAACCATATTCTTTGTAATTCCTATTGTCGAGTGCAGTTTGACCAAATCCGAAAAACATTGTGCTGGAGCCGTGGTTATACGATTTAGAATACCACAGTGTTTAAATTATATTTGATAATTTGTTTGCCGCATTTGCCATTTTATTTGAAAATATCTTTTCCGAAACTATTATATAAGCTTTGATTTATTTGGCGAGAAGTTAGACTCACAATAAACAAAAAAAGCATCTACAAGAATGAGCCTGGATGTATATTTTTATACGGTCGTAATAACGTATAATATAATGGCGAACATTGAACATTGCGAGATCGCACTTTCTCTAACATTAGCGCGCTTTTCCTTCCCTTGTATAGCATAAAGATTTTTTTTTTATTCAATTGTTTAAATAAATAAATTGAATAGTTTCTTACATCGTCTTAAATGTCTTTATTTAGAAAATAGATTTCTACTATTAATATTTTAATTATTATCATGTTGAAACTTCCTTAATGTATTAATATCATATTTTCTATAAAGATCATTTCTGGGTGTACGAATAAAAAATTGGTTCAGGGTTATACGCTCTTTGGGGAATTAATGCTACATTCCAAGTGCCTTGATACTACTGACTATTACTTCTTAATATAAATTAATTCAATACACCACAACTATTCAATAAAGCTAGTAAAATATATATACCATGCAAGGAACATCACTTAACAAACATCAAAATTATATAATTAAAGAATTGAAATGTTACAATTATTGAGAGCAAGTCCGGGCATAAAACT